TGAGGCACCCGGGAGCGCCCCGCCCCAGCGTCCTGCCCTGCAACACTGTGCGGTGACCCGGGGACACCCTTGCCCAGCCCTGCAGCACTGTGCAGCACCCCAGGGGTGCCCCTCCCCGCTGCAGCTTGGGCTGGCTCTGACTCCAGAGCTGTAAGGCAGAAGCAGAAGGTAAGGGGGGGGAGGGGAAATAAGAGGAACGGGTGGGAAAGGAAGGGGTTTTTGCAGTGGGGAGGGTGGAGGAGGAAGAAAGGGGAATAGGTGGAAGGGGCTTGTACCGAGGGGGAGGGGAGAGGGGGAAGAAAGGGGAAGAGGTGGAAGGGGCTTTTACGGAGGGGGAGGAGAGAGGGGGAAGAAAGGGGAAGGCACCAAAGGGACAGGGTAGAGGAGACACAAATGCTAAGGGGAAAGTGGAGACAATGAGGAAAAGGGCAGGAGGGGAGGTGTCAGTGGGAGAAGGGATAGGGTGATGCTGGAAGAGGAGAGGGTAAGGGTATTGGGGATTGGAGGGGGAGGAGCTGGGAGAAGGCTTGACAGAAGGAGTAGGCTTGAGGAAGGTGGGGTTGAAGCAAGTCATGTGTGAGGGCACAGGGGCATAAGGGGAATGGGGGCAGAGGGTGCTGAGGGGATGGACATCAGGGAAAAAGGGCAAAGGGGGAAGGGGCAGCGAGGGAAGGGGGAGGCACCAGGAGGGTGCAGGGGTAAGGGAAGGTGTAGGTGCCAGGGGATTCTTGGGGTGAAGCAGAAGGACAGACACCTGCAGGGGAGGGACCAGCACCAGAGGAGAGAGGCGAGGGAGGTGTTAGACGAAGGGATGAGGAGGGATAGCTCACATGATCAGAGTGGGGCTACTGGAGGAGTGGGCACAGGGGGGAGAGAAGGGCTGGTGGAGGGCAGGCCGGTCTCAGGAAAGCTAAGGGCAGGAGTCACGACAGCAGAAGAGGGTGAGGGGTTGGGGGGCAGCAGGCACGAGGGGAGTTGATGGAGCAAGGGGAGGAGACATGGCAGCAGAGGGGAAAGGTAGATGGCCACATGAATTTGGTACTGATGCACAACACAAAAGTCATTCTGCTCATGGGAGGAAACTCTTAGAGGGAACACTTCCTCCCTCCCTCCCAAGCCTCTCCACCCCTGCATTAATGTCACACACATTGGATTAATGCAATTGCAGGATAGTTGCATGGGGGTGGGAGGGTTGGTGGGGGCCAAACTAATCCCTATTGGTAGGAGGATGGTTACCCAGAGAGGGTTACCTCCAGGGGAGTGGCTTATGGGGGTCAGGGGCGTGGTTAACAGGGGTCAGGGGTGTGGCTAACGGGGGTGTGTGTGTGTCAAAGTGCATTTTAAAAATATTCTTTGGGTGCAGACCTTAATGAAATGTGCTGTGCACGCCTATGCCTGGGAACATTGATAGCATGTGGCAATGGTAGGAGGGGGCCTGAAAAATAAAAAAAGGTTGTGATGAGCTCCTGAATTAGAGTAGACCTTTTTCATACATACTTATATATTTACTTTCAAATGTATTTCCTTGATATCTCTGAGGCACTTTCTTGACATTCTATTTGTAATGATACTAAAATGATTATTTTCTGAAATATTATCCATTAAATTTAGCATTACACTGCCTTCACGTGGCAATGCTAAACCTGCAGTGCTGATTCAAGATAAATCATTAACTAATGGGGCTTACACTGAGAAACAATACTGCAAATTTGGCCAAGGCTATCCAGATTAAGAAAGTTGATAGGAGCTGCTAGGTACTCAGGATTTATGAAAATAAGGCCATTGATTTAGATGTCTAAATATAGACCTAAAAGCGTCTAGACTGGCATGATTTTGCGCAAATACTTTTAACGGAAAAGTATAGACGCAAAATCATGCCAGTGTAGACGCTCTCTTGCGCAAGAAAGCTCCGATGGCCATTTTAGCCATCGGGCTTTCTTGTGCAAGAAATTAATGTTGCTGTCTACACTGGCCCTCTTGCACAAGAATACTTGCACAAGAGGGCTTATCCCTGAGCGGGAACGTCAGAGTATTTGCTCAAGAACCACTGATTTTGTACATTACAAAATCAGTGTTCTTGCACAAATACTCACAGCCAGTGTAGACAGGTGGCAAGATTTTGCACAAAAGCAGCCACTTTTGCACAAAATCATGCTAGTCTAGACCCAGCCCTAATGTTAGTAACCCATTTCTGAAAATGTTGCCAAGCAAGACAGATTCTAAATTCGTGGAAATTGTGATCATGTTTCCAACACTGAAGGTCCCAACCCTATATGTTCTGTGGGGCATAAGTTTATCAACAGATCATAGGACTGACCTCAATGGATATGACAATTTCCAACACTGACGGTCCCAACCCTATATGTTCTGTGGGGCATAAGTTTATCAACAGATCATAGGTTTCTCTCTCTCTCTCTCTCTCTCTCTCTCTGGAATTTGACTTTTGTTATCCTTCAAAAAGGAGCTGTGTCAAGCCCATCATTAACGGCTAAGCACAATTTTATATTTTAAATAGATGTCAATGCTACAGTCCTTGGTCATTTATCCAGGTTATAACAAATATAATAACACTTAATAATTTAAGTACAAAAGCAGTTTTACATGATAAAGAACAATTCCCATATAGAAATCTACCAGCAATAAACATGTTACTTGTCCTAGAAAGAAATGTTAGGGTTGTTATCATTAGTATCATTTGATAGCACTCAACAATAAACTCTTTGAATTTGATCCCCAAAATGAGCAAACAGTATTTTCAAATTATTTTCATCTTCATGGTCAAGAGTTTGTTAATGTTGGCCAAGACTAATTCAGCAATTAATGGTCTGCTTTTTCAGATAATATCTGAAAGTGAAATATCTCAATTACTTAATATTTGTAAACTAGAACAAATTCTACAGATGAAACATGGGACCATGAATATCCCATCCAAGGGCCTGAATCAAGACAGCATAAGAAAGTTCTGATTCACACTTGCAATATTAAGTAAAACAAAATCTTCATTAGATTTTTGCAAGACAGGATCCAAGATTTCTGCTCAGTGCAGGTTGAACCTCTATAGTCCGGCAACATCCATGGTCCAGAATTATTTTAGTTCACTGGATGTGATGCCCACTTATCATGGATGTGGCTAAGTTTCCCATCACCCATAAAGTTTCTTTACAGTCTCCGGTCCTGGCTTTCAGCATGCTGTGTTATTTAGCCCTAATCGACCCCTAAATGTCTTCTATGAGCCCAGTAAGCAGTAGAAATGTTGGTAATGATGCTAGACAATACTGACCTCCCATGGTTAGGCACTGGTCAGGTCCCGAGGGTGCCAGACTAGAGAGGTTCAACCTGTAGTATTTATTAGTTTCACCTCATTGATTCTCTTAACCTTTGAATTTAACATACTTTTGGCACTTCTGACAACATGAAGCTATACTCAGTGGTCACCATTAAAATGTTGATCCATATAGTCTTAAAGTAATGAACTTATTTATTTCTACTTATTAAGCTTAGGGAATTCCTGAAATGCCCTAGTAAAGCTAATTGCTTTCAAATGATGTATGTCAACCTCCCACTGCCAGTCACTGCATATAAAGAGTGCATTTTCATTTATGTGCAAACTGAATTTAGTTAGTGGGTCTGCAAATGTAAGGACTAAGGAAATACTAAAGAACTCCCTAACTGGGTACTGAATGCTGTTAAGAGCTTGCTCCGCTGCCGCTGGGGTCAACTATGCAACTTCTGCTTATGTCAGTCGTGCAGGACTAGATGCTAGGTGCACAAAGAGTGCTTTGGGATGCCTATCTTTCCCATGCAAAATCTTAATTATTTGCAGAAATGAATCTGAAGCATCTATTCCAGCTACAAAGGTTTTGTGCTACATTTCCTTAATTCTCCCGAATAGGCATGATTTGGAAAAACATACTCCTTTGTGTCCTTAACTGCTGAAATACTTCAAAATTATCTATACAACAGTGTGATTTCCTCGCCACTCATCAGTCCTAGTCCTAATTAGATAAATAGTGAAGATAGTTTCATATATATTTTACCATTCCTGCATTCACCACACTGAACTCTTTACCTCCCCTTCCCACAAGAGAGCCACCACTGGGGAATTTTTCTCTGGTCAGAAGTGTGGACAAAAAGTCTTCTTTCAGATCAATGTTAATCTAGTCTTTGGCTGCAAGGGAACACTGGATTAAATGCAGGGTCCTGAAAGCTTCCAGTTAGTACCCAAGTAAAGCACTTCTCTTAAACATGTCAAGTCTGAGGCAAGGGTTTCTTTGCTGTTCTCAAATTAATGTTGTGCAGACAGCAGCATGATGATCTGTCGCCAAGCCATTCACTGACTCTCAGCTAAACCTGTACTCTGTCACCTTTAATCTTCTTCTCCCTCCCACATACATAACTCTGCCCTGATCCCTTTGTCCAATTTGCTTTTATTCCTTCCCTTTCTCTTCCCTTTCCATTCTTCCACCATTCTTCTGCTGCAGTTGGCTTTTTGTCTCTCACAAAGTAAGCTTCTGGTTTTGTGTCAGAAGAGCTTTAGTAGCCCAGATCCACTCTTGCATGTCATTTATTCTCACAAGAATTTGATTAGTACCACAGTAATCCAAACACATGTTCTCTATACCTCACTATTGCACCTGGTCCTAGTCAAAGTCCTATATAATATGACCTCAAGACTCTTGCACAGCTATATTTTGAGATCACCCCCCAACCCTGTCCTCTCTATATGGATCAGTTGCAGTGTTCCTTCTCCCATGAAAAGATAAGTTTACTGGTTCCCTTAAAAGCATTTACCAAAGTTGCAGATGCATGTAGAGTCAATATCCTTCAGAGGGCACCATGGGGTTGGGTTATTAACTGGAACTCTAATACAATGCACAGACAGCTGGTCTCCACTATGCAAACCACTGTCAAATCATTGAGAAATATCATAAATAAATCATTGCTAGAAGACTTGACACTTTAAACATAAACAGTGTCCAAGAGCAAGGTGGCTACTTTACCTGGTCTTTCATGGTCTTCCCTAAATCTTTAACATCTTTCATGTTAATAGCATTCTTCCCTCCCTTTTCTTTACCCTTCTTCTTGTTCTTCTTTTTGAACAGGCATTTCTTACACAGGCAAAAGCAGCAGGTAAGGATTAATAGGACTGCAACTATGGCTATGGCTATTAAGGCCCAAGGTGGCACTGCAAGAGAAAAAGAAACACACACACACGCAATGGCCCACCGTTAATAAATTTAAATGTAAAAAAACCCAGACTTCATTTGCAGACAAAACTTTTATCAAGCCCTTGAGCAAATATTTAAAAATATGCCATTGATGTGTATATTTTTATATGGAACATTTACAGAGAGAACATCAATATAAGAAAGCATACATTATTTAGCTACATACTCGGAAACAAAAAACAAAGAATGCAACTTGCAATTATTTCGATGAATTAGCAGGAATAATTTGATTTGTCTAAGGTACTCACCAGCTATGCATCTTGCAAAAATAAAATAAAAAAACACTGCTAAAATATTAACCATGTTAAGAGAAATTTGTTTACTTCTTTCTGAATAATCATTCGTGGAACGCACCTGGCATTACAGCCTAGTAAACCATCCTAGTCTGAAGTCACATGGCACTGCTTTGGGACTTGCCTCCAATAGAGCTTAGGTAAAGAAATTTATCTGATCTGCACCGTCAACTTTAATGACCGGCATTTCTCTGCTGCTTTATTTGACAGACTAGTGGGCTACTCTTTATGGATGGAGGTCAAGGTCATCAGTAAGCAATAACCAAGGTCAGAGGACTGCCCGATCCAGCATCCATGCTGATAACGATCAAGTCCTCCAGATATTGGCAATGTTTCAGTGTATATCTATGTCTTCATTAAATTCTTATCAAGAAAAACATAAACATTAAGTTTAGTCATTCAGTCCAGGATTCTGGACATGGCTGTAATACAAACAGATAATACATAATAATAATGATGATGACGATGTCTTGCAAAAATTAAGAAGAGAATGATCTTCACATAAATAAAATGTAATATGACCTTTGTTGATTACCATATGTCTCATTGATGTACATAACAAATACCTAAAATGGGATAAACAAGAGGGTTTTAAAGCGGAAAATCATTTTTGTGTCTTAAAATGTTCTCTGCCTGTCAGATCTGCAAAATGGTCTCTCGACTCAATAAATAAAAATCTCTAAAATTACCCAGAGCACAACAGAACTGTGAACCTAATTCAACAAATTTGCACCAATAAATCACAAAAGGAGAGTAGGCAGTGAAAACACAACAAAACTAATTGCTTATAGTAGCCAAGTGGAGTGGAAAGGATGACTACTGGAAGTTACACTAGAAATTGACACTTCAAAAGGAAATTAAAATATTAGTGAGCAGCTTCCTTATTTATACTTTTTATTTTTCAAACTGCTTTTCTGATAGATATAAAAAAGACTGCAGGAAACCTATTTGGAATAGGTAAATAATACCGTAGCACTTCATATGCCTACAAATGTTCATTTAATGTAGTTGCCATAAAAGAGATGTTGTACCGTATGTAAAATAAATGTGAACTGATGATCAAAGAAATGAATGTTAGCAGGTACTGTAAGCAGATTAGCAGCTGTTTAAGAGAAATATTTTATAGAGACAGAACTAGCAGTTCTAGAGGTAGGGCTGCATTGAGATCTGCACTTCTCACAAGACTAAAATGTCCATTTCATGCTTTACCGATTGAATTTTGTTTTCAAATTGGGCACAACACTTTAGAGGGCAATTGAGTTTTCTATGTGATTTATTTTTTGTAAAGTATTTACTAACTTTTCCAGAAGAAACAGTTCAAACATTCTGCCTTTAGGAAATTTTACCTTGTTTTCCCCATGTTTCTTTGGGTTCCTCTTATTAAAAAAACAACCACTCAAGCCCACAGTCCAAATATCACATGTATACACAGTTTTCTACAACAGAGGTATAGCACACTTTTAACATCTGAAATTAAATACTTGAAGGCTACGTCTACACTGGTGGCTTCTTGCGCAAGAACAATTGTTCTTGCGCAAAAACTTCTCGGGTGTCTACACTGCACGCATGTTCTTGCGCAAATAAATTTACAGTCTAGCATCGGAAAACAGGGCTTCTTCTGGAAGAATTATTCCTCTCCCCACCAGGAATAAGCCCTCTTGGGCAAGAGCTCTTGCCCAAGAGGGCAGTGTAGACAGACAACATGAATTTCTTGCACAAGAAACCCCTATGGCTAAAATGGCCATCAGAGCTTTCTTGCGCAAAAGAGCGTCTACACTGCCATAGACGCTCTTGCGCAAAAGCACATCTCTTCCGCAAAAGCACATGCCAGCATAGATGCGCTCTTGTGGAAGACTTTTTGTGCAAGAACTCTTCTGCAAAACAGAGTAGCCAAAGTGCTAGACTCCTTATTCAAGATAATCTAATTGAGTTACGTCAAGATTAGACAAAGGAATGTTTCTGCATTCCAGTGCTGCCAACCCATGTTTCCAGCTGTGCTTTGCACATACTCCCAGTAATTGTGGGAGGCAGGCTGGCAACAGGAAGATGGACTCCAGAAGACAGAAAGGACTTGGGGGGTGGGGTGGCAGAGAAGATGGGAGGAAAGGGAGGATGAGGCAAACAGAACACACACACAGGGTATGAGATACAAGGGTTTGAGGCTTCAGATGGGCAGAAGGCGTGTTAGCCTAGATGTACACGTTGCCTGGGAAGAAAGATGATACAAGAGTGGGGTGGGTGCCTGGGGGTGTCAAGTGCCTTCATGTTAAAATCATATTGAATGCAGAGGTCCTTTTGCATTGCAGGCATGGTTCCTCAGAGTAGCAAGGCAGCAGCACCATGGGGAGTTCTTCAAGCAATGTTGCCATAGCGCAGAGACCCTCAGCTCCTTTGTTTAATTGTTTATTGTTTATTTTAATCAATTTGTAATTAATTGCAGACAATAACTCTTGTGTTCTAATTAAATCAAGAACAAATGACTGCAATGCTCCAAGTGACACAGAATTTTTAATTTCTCTCTTCAAAGAAGACACTCCCCAGTTCCTTTTGTTAAAGCAAATACAGGTATAAAGGAAGGAAGCTTTTAAGGCAGACCAAGCTCTGGAGACTTTCAAAAAGGCTGCAACAGCCAAATCTCCTAGAAAAGGAAGACCCCCCCCCAATCCAGACAGACTGTAGAGAATATTTTCTTTAACACGAGTGCACAATCTCTGTCAAGAAGATGGCTCATCACAATACTGCTGCTGGCAGAGAACACTCAGCCTCATATTACTGGCACTGGATGTCCCAATGAGATTTAAAACAAGTACAATTTCAACTGTACAGGCTTTGAAACAGAATGAGGTGTTTTCTTTGCTTGGTTTCAAAATGTTTCATGGAAACTGTATTTATTATTAATTCTTTCTGAGCAGAATTAATCATGCTGTGTGATAAAACCAAGATTTTCACAAGAGACTTGTAATTTTGAGTAGTTCAATTTTTTGAACTACTTCTGATACCTGAAGGAGGCTTAATTTTCAGAATGAGCTGAGCCTCTGAAAATGAGGCCCCATTAAGATGCGTCCAGTCAGGCATCCCACAACAGAGACATTCTAAATCACTAGTCACTTTTGAAACAGTATGCCTAGAGCCTTTAATTTCCTGACATACTTGAATATGAAGAATGAGGAAGATATCTGTATTAATGTTATGAACATTTAGAATGTGTGGATTTGGTGGTTATTGTGGAATGGCTTACTCTATGGAATCCTAAAGATTAATTCCAGCTGAGTTTTTCTCATTCAATCAACAATATAAATTGCTGGAAGGTGATCTTGGATCCCCTCTAAAGAAATGCATAACCCAGTATGATCAGATCACACATACTGCTGAAAACACCAGGATATGTAGGGGCAAGGACTCTTGAGGAAAAAAACCCATTGAATGGCTGAAAAGGATAAAAGGTAGACTGTGACTCAAGGGAGACAGACTGACTAATGGGTCAGACCATGAGAAATGCAGGAGCAGTAGGAGGCACAGTCTGTCTTGACCAGATCCAATGAAGGGTGCCTGTGCTTGTAACAAATGGGAATAACATATAGTGGGGGGGGGAGGGAGGCTAAATTTTAACTACGATAGCACGCATGTAGGATTTTGTCACCCCATCTGATATGTTCTTGTGGACAAATACCTATACTTGTTTTTAAGAAACTATCTTGAGTCACTGCAATTTCATATTTGCCACGTGCTTTTGGAAAGAAGTCTATGACAACGGCCAAACCCAGAGGGACCTGCTGAAGCTGACAGTGTGGTTTGTCAACAAGGATGCTGCCATCTAGTGATCCAGTCTGAAGTGAGCTGAATCTCAGGATTTGATGCAGAGAAATTTAGGCATAGGCCTGTCACCTGGAAAGGGTACCCATGACAGAAGTCAAAGGAACAGCTTCCCCCGAAATAATAATTGTATCCTTAGCCATATATCTTGGGGACCATTTCTATAGCCCTTACTATGTTGAGCAGCCATGACTTATGAGAGTAGTCCCATAGAATCCACCTAGTGCTAAAGGACAACTTATGTGAGTGAGCCACAAAATGGCTAGAGTTGCAAAATTGTGTCCTTTGTATAAAAGCTCTTGTGTGTGTGTGTGTGTGTGTGAGTGTGTGAGGGTTAGCTCTACAAAAACTGGTTGGAGAAATTCAGTGCTGACATTCCAGTGAGACTACTGAATGCCAGGGAGGACAACTGACCCTTGAGAAAGAGGCAGCATGAGGGAAGAAGAAAGCTTCATATCAGTCTCGAAGTGCTAATGTTGGTGCAGACTGCAGAGGTAGAGTCCCTACGGCTAAAAACTAAAACTGCCTTAATAAATATGAACATCTGTACATCTACCAAATGGTGTATAAGATAGCCCTTGTTTGGAAAGCTTCAATGCTGATTTTCACAGGATCTAATTCAGGGCAGGCACCACTGGCTTTGGATGTGCCTCTGTGGAATGAATCTATATTTTTATAAGGACATGTGCAAGCTTGTCGTAATTCTCACATACATATTACCCTTCTTGTGTTGACTAACTTACTGACAACTACAAGGTGACCAGAAGTCTAATAAGTTTTATGTTTTGTACTGTATCACCTTAACACAGTCATATGTATGAATCTGCATACAGGAGCAGAACTTGACGATA